CCAAGTCTCCTTCCACCGCATCGCTGGTTGTCAAGGTGATCATGCCGTGATCCACCTTTAACCGCTGACTTGCTTCTGAGTGCCACGCCGTCCGAAGCGGGAATGAGCAAAAGCACGACAGCAGCACTGCTTTATATCTTTTCAGATTCAAGCAGAATGATATGCAACCAAGTGGTACTCGATTATGACGACTGGGTTTGTGAAAAACGGTAATTTCATGAAAACAGTGATAAAATTAGCATTTGTACATTTTTCAAAAGTTTGTTTTATGGAAAATTGGAAAAAAAATATTTCAGCAGATTTGTAATTTAATATTCTATTGATTGGCGTACTTGGATTTTAATTTAATCTATAAATGACAAAGTTACAAGCGTTCAAAACCTAACACTACTTTACCATACACACTTAATCTAGCTCGCTAAAATCTCCAACAGCCGATTACCTCGGCATTTACTTTTGCTGATATCTCTGCAAAATATCAGTTTGTTAGCTGATATCTCAGCAAAATGTTATTTGTTAGCTGAGTCTCGGCAATTGTTTTACTGAATCTCAGCAGAATAAATTGCAGAACTACTCGGCTGTTGGAATCTCGGCGAAAAAATTTAAGTGTGTATATTTTTTGATTTGCACACCAGTATAGTCGACAAAGACGTAGTTCTACGTCAAAAAAGTATACTATATTGTACGTAGCCCCCCCCCCCCCTCTTATCTAAGGGGCTACCCACTATTACCATCTCCATATACCTCCACATGCCGAATTTGGTTCCATTTGCTTGATTAGTTCTCGAGTTATGCAGAAATTTCTGTTTCAATTGTATGGGAGCCCCCCTTACATAAGGGGGAGGGGTTTCAAACCATCATAAGAAACTTTCCCGGCCCCAAAAACCCCCTGCATACAAGTTTTCACGTCGATCGGTTCAGTAGTTTCTGAGTCTATAAGGGTCAGACAGACAGACATACGTGGCCATCTTGCCCCGTCTACCCCTATTGATGTTTTCTGCTCGATAGAACGAAAATCAAGACCAACAATTGAAATGGCCTTAACTCCTTTTTGTAAACAAACCTTGTAAGGCCATTTCCTCCCGAACCGAAGTCCGCAAAGGCAAACCAACATAATGAACAGGTTGGGGAAATTATCCTCTACCCGATTGTGGTTTAGGTTTGCGAATGAAGGTTTCAGTTCGCGAGAAAATGGCCTTACAAGGTTTGTTTACAAAATGGAGTTAAGGCCATTTCAATTGTTGGTCTTGAAATGGGCGATTATGATTAACCTATGGTGGTAAGCTCCAACCGGTATTATCCTCGGATTAAATCTCGATCAGGGACGGTATTAAAAGTTAATCCGAGTTGGAGTTTACCGCCACTAGAGATTATGGCATTATGACAGAATATTCCATTTTCAACACTTGATAAAAATCCACACATTTTGGTAAAAGTCTATCTAGAAACGCTTCACGCCGTGTCGAAATGATAGATTAATCGACTTCCATGTAATACCTACATCGGATTTTTCATGATCAAAAACTAGTTTGGGCGGTAGGGGAGAGTGGTGCAAAACGGCTACACTGGTCTATGGGCACCAACCCGCTTTACAAAAATATTCCTAGAATAGTGAATGATTAATAACAATCCCACAGAACGCCTTAGGAACACACAAAAATACCATCAAAAAACACGTCAGGAACACATGAAATGCCATCTTGCCCCACAATCCCCTACGAAATTATTTTTTAGAAATTTATAAAAATTAATAATTCAAATTTCCCCTGACAGAATATTTTAAAACCATCCAAATTTGGATGGTAAGCACCCAAAATAAGTTGTGGTGAAGAAAAATTAATAATGAAAGCTAATTAATGCACAATTTCGAACACGTCATGGTATGGAAGAAGAGTAATATTTTACGGTTCTATAACATTGCCCAGAAAACCATTCCCCCGAAAACCATTCACCAGAATCTCATTCCCCAGAATACACCATTCCTCAGAAAAGTATGCCATCTAATACATGACTAATTTTGTTTATTATAGTCATTCCTGGAATCTTCTTTCGCCCATATAAAATGAATAGAAAAACTTCTTAATTGGTCAAGGCGTTTTCCTTTCTTTGAAAATATAAGAAAAGGAAATAATTAATTCTTTGGATATACGATATGAAAGAGAACATAATTAATTCATTAATAATATGATAAAGAACGGAATATTCCCTTCTTTGAAAATATAACAAAAGGAAATAATTAATTCTTTGAATATACGATAAAGAAGGGGGAATATTCCCTTCTTTGAATGTATAAAAGAGAAAATAATTTATTCTTTGGATGTAAATATGATAAAGAAGGGAATATTCCCTTCTTTTAATATATAAGGAAAATATATAATCAATAGTTTTTCGCAAGGGATTCGGGGTAGGTGATGACCATTTGGGATAATAACGAGTGGAATAATGTTATAAATTTGTAATCGGTAGTTCAATGTTCCATGCACCGATTTTTTAATCCATCACGAGAAATTCTTCAACTCAGGTCGAACAATTCTTCGATAAGGTTTAACAGTTTCCGACTGGTTGAATTGGATTGCATATAATAGACCCTTTGACTTATTAAATGATGAACGAAGTGCTCGAAAACTTGAAGGTTGTCATTTTATAAAGAGCTAAAAAATGGTTTGGAATTGATAGATACATAGTTCCATAAAAGTAAACATAGTCTATTATCAATAGTAAACAAAAAGAAAAGTGAAATTACTAATTTCATCATCTTTTCTGGGGAATGGTACATTAGCGTGATGCAAAATTTGAAATTTTCGCTCCACAATACTTAAACGATTCCAAATCGGATCCTGACTAACCTCTCAAAATTTGAACCCATTTGGTGAGAAACTGAGATGGCACAAACCATTTGAAGTTTGTATGGGAATTACTATGGTAAAACCAAGATTTTTGTTCATGTCTATCTAATAATTCACCATATCGGTCTTCAAAAGTTTTCAACTGTACTTGTAGGAAATTTTTCTAGCTACAACTTTGCTCAAGACCACTTTTCAATTAAATGCAAGTATCGAATGTTATCAATGGTTCAATGCGCTGATGTCTTATGATCATGCTCAATCAACTGCTCAGCAGGCAACAGTGGTGTTTCTGGGGCGTTGAATAGGACACACAAATCATGGCTACTATGTCACACTGCAAAATACAGTGTTGCCTACAGAGCAGCTGCTTGATCATGTCATAAGTTTACCAATCTCTTAAACAATTAATAAATTTTTCCTGTCCCGTTTTACATAGAAACAATCTTCAGCAAAGTTGTAGCTGAGAAAATTTTCTATAAGAATGGCTATCGAACTGTTTTGCAGCTCAATATGGAAAAAAGACTAGAAGGTAATGAACAAAAAGTTGAGATTTTCCATAGTAATTTACATGTAAACTTCAAATGGCTTGTGCGAAGTCTGTTTCTAACCAAATGAGTTGTTACTTTGAGAGGCTAATCAGGACCCGATTTGAAACCATTTAAGGGGGTATTCCCAATCTTTTGCCTTTTTTCGGCCTGTTTTTCAATTAATTTTTTTTCAAGGAAAATGAATAGTAATGCGCCTAACTCTTTGGGATTCTTGTTTATTGAACATTAAAGTTTATAAATAAATTTTTTTCGACATAAAAAAAGACATTATTGACGTCACAAAATGGCGGCAAACAGACCCCTGTTCGCCGCAAACGCCTGGACGGGCGAAGACTTTTCTCTGGAACGGCTTCATCTGAAACAGATTTCGTGATGAAATTAATAATCTGCATAAGATTCTCTGGAGCTTCTCCCGTTGGCAGCAAAAAATCTTGCAAATTAACAAAATGGCGGCCATATGAAAAAACAGGCGATTTTTAGCCCGCTTTTTTGCAGCTTTATGGTGCTTCAAACAATGTTAAATGTTAATATTTTTGACTGAAAGTGGGAAAAGCTCCAAAGAATTTAATAAGGAACAAAATGCGCAAAGATTCAAGTCAATATCTCTTATAGTTTCTGAGAAAAATCTTCGCCCGATAAAAAAAATGTGGTTTCGAGAAAAACGTGTTTAAAGTTTTGACTTTAGTTAAAACCATTTGGGGGTTCTTACCATTAGTCAGCTATGCCTGGACACCGAATTCGCTGATCGGAAAACGGCTTGGGGGGATGAAAGTATATAGTCTAAAGTAGAGTCGGTGAATAATGAGTCACGCCAAGAGTGAAGCCAAGTCTACCTATTGAACTGTCAAACCGGCTACCTATCATGCAAAGTAAACAAGCATTACGATGCTGTGAAAGGTCCACGAAAGGTATTGCAATTAAATATAAAATATTATCGAAGAAATGATCATATACACGCAGTGAGCATTACATTTGTCATGCGATACGTTTTGTAATGATCAGTAATGACAATTTCTACTATTTTTCTTTAAGATAATTCGACAAAATCAGTGATATAATGATTTACTACAGCCGTTATTTTTTTTCCCCGCTAGAAGTCATTTGAAGTTGATGCATAAGTCCTCTGTTGCCAAGTTAAAAGAAAGGGAATCTTTCGAAAACCGTGATGCGAGTTCAACTGTTTTTCTCTTGGCGTGACTCATTATACACCGACTCTAGTCTAAAGTACAAAAAAACGTGAAAAAAAAAATTTGATTTTTTGAAAAAAAAGATCGGGAATACCCCCTTAAGCACTGTGGAGCGAAAAAGTCAAATTTTGCATCAGTCTAATGGTACATTCTGGGGAATGGTTTTCTGGGGAATGTTATAGAACCATATTTTACATGCCCATTTCGCCCTAACTGGAACTGAACGTCTGTTCTCACCAATAAATAATTATCACATACCCTGCTATGAAGAGGCAAACAAAGCAATCTAGTTTGACTGCTGTTCTCCACTGATTGAGTCGGTAGGTCCATATAACGAAACTTATCATCAGTCGTATAAATGTGAACATGTGTGTGAGTTTCTAGCTAACTGTGGTGAAAAGTGCATCTGTTGCTAAATTATGTGATGAATGTTTACTGTTGTTACATCGGCCACCAACCATTGAGCAGCTTGCAGGAACGTAGGTACCTAACGACGAAATCGGTTCGTGCAGCTTAGTTCGATCACAACACTTGATAGAGTAGTATGCTTGGATGGACTCCAGCAAGTTGAAGTGTATTCTTTGCAAGCAATATCCCAATGGGGAAGTGTACGAATGCGGGTCACATCACGTAGGATGTATTCCATGCGTGGTCAAACTGGACTTTCGCCTGTGTACGGTAAGTATAGGCGCATTGGCGAACTTGAAAATCGGTAATCTTTTGATATCCTCAAATACGTCAAACAATTGTAAGTAGTAAACATTATGTGCTTAAATGAACGTCTGTTTAGGGGCTGTTCATTAACTTTGTAGACGTTTTTTTATGATTCTTGACACCCCCCCCCCTGCGTAGACAATTGTCCATACAAAATTTTAAAATTTGTATGGGTCGTGGCTAATTCTCAACCCCCCTAAACTGTCTACGTTGTTTATAAACAGCCCCTTAGTTTCTGATAAGTCACCCAACACAAGCGATAAGAATTGCATGACGAACGCAAAGCGCACTTCATATAGCAATAAATGTTACTCATTGCAGTGTTCCGAGAGCTTCAACAGAAAAAAAGATAATCCAATCGAGAAGTTAGAGAAGCGTACCAAAGTTAATTGCGATTATGAAGAATCCGGTTGTACCTGGTTATTTGCGCCGTCGGAGCTAGGTCGGCATTTGGAGGAATGTAAATTTCGTCCCTACCGTTGCATTGCCCAGGTACTCAACGTTATGCCGTAAGTATGGTTACTGTTCTTGATATCGAACAATAGTTCAGACATTTTTTGTTGAATCTTCCAACAACAATAACAGATGCACTTGGACGGGATTACAGCATGAAGTTGAGGCTCATCTCAAGCAAGACCATAGGGCGTTGGGAACGCCCTACAGCTATTTCCAAGAATCAGGCAAGGTACCATTCATTACAACGAAATCTAACGCCCTCATCAAGCTGGTAGATGCTTTCAGTAAGCATTTCCTTTTCTACTACTGTTCGAATGTCGACACTCAGATGGTTTACTTTATGATCGTCTACTTTGGACGTCGCATGGAGGCTCGCCAATACTTTTATGAATTCGATATTCGATCACCGGTGGAGCACGGAATTCCCAGGGTAAAGTTCGTCCAGCAGTGCGTTGCCGATTGTGATGACTTGGATGAGCTGATGGAGCAACAGGAAAGCTGCATTGCTGTCTCGTTCAAAACGATCAAACACTATCTGCGCGGGGATTCGATTCCGTTTCGCTTCATCGTGAAGAAGGTCGCAGATAAAACGACGGCTCGCGAACGTAAAACTGCTGAAAATGGGAAGAAGCAACTGGAGACCACCAGAAGGCGAACTCCTTCGAACTCGTTCTCCCTGGATGATCCACCGTTGCGTTCGATTCATGTGGTCCCGGCACAGGATTTGTCTGCCTTTCCTATATTTTGAAATAAATGAGTACTGTTGTGCGAAATTTGAAAAAAAAAAACTTGGCCCGAAGGGATTTATTGAAATCTTGGACTTGGTTGAGAATTCTGGTAGGTGAATTCTGCTCCTGGAGTCCTGGTTAAAACTTGCTAGCAGGGCAAATAAATCTGCAATTCTTGGCATATTGTTGGTATAATTGTAGGGAACAGTAAAGCAAATCGGAAAGAATTTCAAGTAGCATTCAAAGGGAATTCGGAAGAGGATTTAAAGCGTATTAATCGTTTACCCCGTACATACTATGGCTTATATCATGTAATATAGGCTGTGTATATTTCAATAGTGACCTATTAAAAATTGATAGTGTTCATTTTAGCATATTCATAGAAAATTTCCAATCGATAGACTTGTTTAGAATTAAAATCCATCCGCTATTGATAGAGTTATAAGTGGTCCAAACCTGACCACTTTTCGTAACGGTGTCGATTTTGGTTTTTTGAAATTTCACCCCCCAATATGTTGCCGAAAGACGTAATCCCATGTCAAAAAAGGACAAGAATCTGAGCAGCCACCCAGGATGGAAATTTTTCACGTTGGCCCTTTGCCCCACTGAAGGTGCCCAATGTACTTAAGTAAGTAAGTTATAGTATGTGTTTAACACATGAAACTTATCAATGTGATTTTCAGAGAGCAACAATTTTATCATCAGTGAATATTTACTCTGAACTGACTGTGACTCTATAAATGCGAAAATTTGAGGTTTTATGTGTCAAACACATACATCACAATCTCTTCGTGTAACTTACAAGCACAAAACCCTTTTTTATAGTAAAAATGAATAGCAGACATAGCTTTGACTGTCCCACCGGGTATTTTTGTTCTACCTGTCCCACCCACTCTCGGTGCTTCTGCTTCCATGTAAGACGCAGTTATTAATCCCAAAACGTCTACATCATTCGTACAATAGAGATTAGTGACGTTTAACGCACGCACACTAGCGGGAGGAACGCCGTATAGAGATTGCTAAAGTATGATTGTGTCAGTGATTTGTTTTCATCGGGAAAATTTTCCGCTATGAAGTTTTTTTTCCCCGATGAAAACATTTTGCGTATACGTATACGTGACATAGTGTGCGTACGATAAACGTCAGCAATCTCTATAAAGTTGTTTCGTTTCCTCTGTATGAAAGTAGATCTGTCAAAATGAGTTTGACATCGATTTGTTATGTGTTTTCCTCGTATATTCACTAACACGCTCTCACATATCGCACCAATACAACCGGACGTGAAAATCTCTATAAACCAGGACTTTTACCACCTACGAATTTGTGCAACTTGGCTAAAGTGCGAATGCAAATATTTTCCCTTTTTGTTAAGTTGTACTATGCGTCTAAAATTCATACGAGGCTGCATTGAACTTTATGAGTTGATCGTGTGTGAAAAAAAATCAAACGTCGTTCGCATGAAACGCTCGTTATAATATGGCATACGAGCCGAAGTTACTAGCGTATGTCAAAGTTCTGGCGGAAACTTGGGCTGTATTGAGAGGTAAAAACGCTGAATTCTAAATGATATTCCGGATCCTACCTACATTTTTAAAATTATGGAGTGTATGGCTTTAATAACAAGCGTACTGGTAGATCCAGAAGAGCGATTTAATTTGTACGTGAATTGCTAGAGCAAAACGTAAGAAGGTAATATCAGTGCTAACATTTGAAAACGGCGCAAAAGCCATTTGTAAACAAATGGTTTGTGGGCCCTTTACTCGCTACCCGAAGAACGCCCACGCAAACCAACAGCATCGTCAGGAAGGGGAAAATTTCCCCTACCCGATGTTGCTGTTGTGTCGCGTGGGTGTACTTCAAGTAGTGAGTAAAGGGCCCACAAACCATTTGTTTACAAATGGCTTTTGTGCCGTTTTCAAATGTTAGCACTGATATAAAGATTATTTCAAATATTTATTGGGCCTTATTACGGGTGTCACTTCACGGTGAAAACGAAGTGAAGTGACCAGTTGTCACTCACGGTGAAGTGATTGCCGTGTAAATCAAATGGGAATCACTTCACCGTGAGTGATAAGTTGTCACTTCACCGTGAAGTGACATCGGTAATAAGGGCCATTATCTTATATTATAGTTACTTTTTGAGTGATGTTGATTATAACACAATAAATCAAAAACAACACTTCAACGTTTAATTTTGAGAGAAGTTATAAAATTGTTTGTTTCCATGTAGGGGAAATGGCTCTAATGTTGGTCTATTGATCTAAAATTGAACCCATCGCTAAAAATCAGCTATTTATCAATTGTATCTATATGAACGCGTCATCGGGACGGTACCAGTGGATATTTTTGGTCGCTATTGAAAATTTATTCGATTGCTGAATTTATGTATGGGCGATTGCATTTTGCATTCCTCTTGTTTCTAATTCATACGAACGAAACGTAAATTTCATAATCATAACGTATCATTTTCATACGACACATTTATGAAATCTATATTTGTCTATTTCAAAAAAACATAAATGATAACGGAGGTGTTCGTTCATATTTCTATCGTATGAAATTCAGAATAAATTCTTTTTGGTAAATTCCATAAACATTTCGTATGAAATTCAAACGAATTATTTCCTCAGTGTAGGGATGACTAGGTATACTATTCAAAACGAATTCTTTTTGCCCAAATAAGGCCGGAACAAATCTCAAGTTTTTCTTTTGTCAGCCTCCCCCCCCTCCCTTCAAAATTTTGGAATATCATAAAGGGGGAAGTAAAAAAAAAAACTTTCAGTGTATATTTATTTTTTGAGTATCGGTATTTCATTTGGGTATGGATACTCGCTTTGCTAGATCTTATTATGTTGTAGAATATCACCTTGTTCTTTTACAGAATTTTTACATAAATTTGAAATAAACCGGTACGGCATGCCAGGTCCTTGAAATCGAATCAGCCGGTTTCAGTTGTTGAAAACGGATTTTATCGAACTCATTCCTAATCTTTTTTGGCAATCCACTAACCGTCTTCAATCTGATCGATCCCTCTTGTTCGTTGCGTACATCTTCATCTTGTTCCAGTCGGATCACTACCAAGAACCATTCTCATTGGGTCGGTATCCGACATTGTTACGATGGGCCCAGCCCACCATAGTCGCCAGATTTTTGCATTCGATCTAAATTTCTTAACTTACAAACCTGCTGCAATGATACTAAATTATTCAATTCTTTTCTACAGTGATTCAACCATTTCCGAGCTACATCCAATCTTTTCAAAATTGGTTTATATTCTTAAGAAGTGAGACCAAATCAGAAACGATCCAGGAAATTCATAACTGAGGTGACACTTTTCAAAGCAGATTCAAAACTGAGTCTGAACTTTTCTGCTGATGTAAGTTCAAAGTTTCGAATAAGTCATCAACATTTTTCTAACTAAGTCTAAACTTTTCTGCTATGTCATTCAATCCTTTTTAAAGTTGTCAAAGCTTTCCTGAAGTGATTCAACAAATCCCGAATCCAATCTTAAAAGAATTGGTTTCGCATTTTCTGAAGTCAGGCAACATTAGTTGATTTAATCCCTTTCCTAAATGAATCAAAGGTTTCCTGCATTGATTCAACTTTTTCCAACTGTTCTTAACTGCTTTGGCATTTGGCAAATACACAATCTTGTTTAGGCCATCTAGTTTTCTAACACTTTATGAGCTTAAATTTTCCAAATGGAGTAACATCTTTTCTGAAGTGGTTCATAATCTTCTTTAGGGAGTCCAAACTTTTCTGTAGAGTGATTGAATTTTATTTAATGTTAGTTTGAACTTTCCTGAAGTAATTTAACTAACTTTTAGCGTAGATTCCGCTCCTTTAGACCCCTCCTCGTTCTTGTGAGATTCACATCCTTTGAAAATTAGGCTGAGAAATGGAAGAATGGACCTTCGTGTGTTCATACCGGATACTAGATTTTTTAAGCAAGCACAAATGTTGAGAATACTGGGTTTCCATCCACAAAAGTACTAGGGGAAAAGTTCTCTTCGACAATACCTTAACCTATTATCGTCAGGGGGGTAAACAACGTCCTTGAGAGCTCAATTTTGGCATGTGGATAAATTGTGTTTCAGAGCAACTATTGGCCAAATTTGAGTGCTCTAGGACTTTGTTTACCCCCCTGACGAAAATAGGTTAAGGTATTGCCGAAGCCAACTTTTCCCCTATTTATATAGAAATTTGGGTTTCTTGATCAGCCAAGATGGATTTTGGCTCTGTCCTTTGAAAAACAGGCTTGGATGTTATAGAAGAGACCTTTGTGAGTTCATTCGTGATGGTAGATTTGTTTGAAGTCAGGTTGGATTTCGGTTCAATCGTTTGAAATTTGTGCTTGGATTTTATTGAATGGAAGTTGTTGAATACCGGAAGAACGAACCTGGTTAACGTTCACAAAAGAAGGTATTTTCATAAAAAATGATTTTTCTGTTTTGTCGTACTGAGTTTTGGCTCCTATCTTTGAAAAATAGACTTGTATTTTATAGAATAGAAGTTGCTGAAACCATACGTGATGATATATTTTTTGAAATATTTTTTGAAGCATGCACTATTTTTTTAGAAAACTGGGTTTGAATTCTCAAAAGTACTCATTTTTATAGAAATTTGGGTTTCTTGTTCAGCCAAGTTGAATTTCGGCTCCTTCCTTTGAAAAATAGGCGTGGATTTTACAGAATTGCTAAATCCATACGTATTCTCAAAGAAATTTGGTTTTTAGGTTCTGCCAAATTGCAGATTTGGGTCATATTTTTGAAAAATAGGCTTTTATTTTATAGAATGGACCTTGCTGAACCGGGTTTGTAATTCGAAAAGTATTTTTTTCTTCGAAATTTGGTTTTCCCTTTCTGCTAAGTTGGATTGTGATACTATTCTTTCAAAGTTATGCTTAGAATTTATAGAATTGACCTTGCTGAATTCATATGTGATGATTTTTAAGCACATACAAAGTCAGCTTTAAATTGACAAAACTAGGTATTTTTGTTAAAATTTGGTTTTTATGTTCAGCCAAGATGGATTTTGGTTCCTTC